CCAATAGTTCTCTCTATATTTCTTTTCAAACTCAACTCTTTTCTTCTTCCATTAAAACGGAGTTGTGCTGAGTTCATTAAATTTTTGTTTGTGAAACTTACATGTACAGATTTACTCTCATTTAGCTTTATTTTCCATCTATTTGTCAATTTACTCTTTTGTTACTTATTTCCTGTAATTTTTTTTGTCGATTTTTCAACATTTGATCTCGCAGCCATTATTGCCGTATCGTTGGCAAAAGTAGCCAAAGTTACACCCCCTAAATCTCGCAAATCGCTTGTATGAAGCACTTATAAAAGGCCCAGAATACTACATTAAGGCACACAAACCCTAATTTTCCTAAGCGTAGAGTACTCGTCGTCCTGTTTGATTCGGTCAGATAAATATGATTCAAATAATTTCACGAATTACAAAGGTATCAATTTCTTAAGTTTAAATAATAAACCGTTGTGCCAAACTTAATCGAACGCCTGGCCCACGTGCAGGAATATTGTCGACCATATTTACCTTTCTCTAACGCCTTTTCCACAATATTTGTTATTCTGTGTACTTGATCAATTGTTGCGTGCTTTTTTCAAAAACCAAACTGATGGTTTAGAATGAATTTCTTGTTCTCTATTACCGGCATCAGCCTTGTTAATAACAATTTTTCAACAAATTTTGATATCATTGGTTGTAGAGAAATCGATCTATAGGACTTTACCTCATTCAAGGGTTCCTCCGATTTTTCATTATAATAACTTGCGCTACTTTCTGAACTTTAGGAATATACCTCAGGCTAACTGCTGCATTTATCAATTCTTTCAAAACTATGGTAGCCTACCTCGGCAACTCTCTCAATATCTCAGCAGTAATGAGATGAAAACCTGGGGCCTTATTCGGTTTAAACGACTTTATCGCTCGGTAAATTTCCCCCTCATTTAATAAAGCCATGGCGTTTTCATCCATATCAAAATCTTCTACAAAGCAAACACTAGAATTCAGTTCATTTGGTTAAAAATTCCTTCTAAGTGATCAGCAAATGGTTCAGCTTTATTTTGCCCATGATTCATCTGCTTTTTTCAGTTGGGGAATTCGCTTTATCGGCTTCTTGGTACTCTTCGTTGCTTTCCGCAACGAATAATTTGTTTTTTTAGTTGTCGATAAGCGTTTTTGTTCTTTTGATTGTTTGAGAAAGTATATTCACAATCACTTTATCGACTAGGTGACGCAACTCTGGCCAATTACGTCTATCAGTTCTTTTTTGTACTATTAAATAAGTTATTTTCTTAGGATAATTACTTAATACAGGTGTTAATTCAGAGAATTTGATATTTTTTCAGGATATTTTTTATTTCTTTGAAGAAAAAAGAGAAAGAATCAGCTTTGATAAAGTGCGTATGTAGCGCACGAAATATATTAGCAAAAATAAAATGTATTTTATTCCGAATAAAAGGGAGTTATCTTTTCATACACCTAAAAAAAAAATTATATTTCGGAAAAATTATCAACTATTGAAGAATTTTTTGAATCCGGGACTTTTTTGACATCAGTATGCCGATAAATCGGACTGCCAGTAGAATGATAGAAACATCCCAAATCCAGGATGGCTTTTCTTAGTTCTTTACCTCTAGTTGAGATCAATCTAGAGCCCAAATACACATGTTTGGCATTATACCCAAGTAACAATTTTTATCTCAAAAGGCTCTGTTAGAGCTATCTTTAGAATTCTTAAAGAATATTGTTCTTACAATTTCAGTCTTGTAGAATACTAAAAAACCCTTGTGAGATCGTTACGAGAACAAAAGATCGCAATTACTAGAGTTATTAATTCTGTTAAGCTCTCATTAAAAGAGTTTTGAAAACACTAGTATGAGAGTTACGAAAATTTATTATTGTGTTACTAGAAAGAGAAAGCAATACATTGTAGAATAAACATATCGGTTTTACTTTGAACCTTATAAAAAATATATCTGTTCCACTTTTAATAATTACTTTTTTAACAAAAATGAAACAAAATATACATAATATATTTACGTATATGATATGTCATCAATAAATATTTGTAGTCAAATGTTATAAAATTATAGATATGGGAAATTATAATAATTTTTTTGCCATGATTATAAATCGAAAAGTTACTGGCATTTAAATTTTATTGATAATAGTTGGTATTGTACTTCGAAAAAAAGCAACGTCAACTAAAAATAATTGAAATTTAAAAAATTTTTATGCATACTTTTTAACCCTATAATATCGTTTTCCTTTTTTCTTACATAAATTTTAAAATTTAAGAAATGTTAAAAAATAAATATACTAATGTGCATAAATTCCAACTAAAATTTTATTATATTCAAATATAATGAAATTCAATATTATATTCAATTTCTGTACAATAAATATTTTGCGAACTTCTTTCCAAAAATTCTCAATCTCACAAGGGTTAAAACTTAGATAAGGAAAAATAACAATACTACAATGGCCGTGCCTAACTTATGAGAATAAAATTCCTCTTATGAGAACAATGGACTCATAAACGAATAATTTTTATAGGTATATCATTATTCGTTTCCGTTTGTAACACAAAAAATGAAGTTGGCACTGATAATTCTCGAGCCCTTACTTAAAAAAATATTTCAGATACTTACTTTTTATATATGTAAATGAAAGAAATAACATTATAATTGTCATTAAAATAAGTGTATTTGTAAAAAACAAAAACTGATCGAACTGATTGCTTAAAACTGTGTATAATTTATAAACATATTTTTTCGTCACTTTTTGCGTATTTTATTTGTCAAGTTCTGACATTTGCTTATAAAGGCATTCTTTTAAGGACAAAATTCTATAAGAGTTGACATCTTATAAAAAATACTTTATGAAAATTAAAATTTTTTATGGTTTGTTGAAAGTAGTTCTGCTATGAGAGTAGCAGAATTTTTACCACTACAAGTGCTAAGTCTTTATTGTAAGAACCTTAAAAAAGTTGAATAAAAACAAAAAAAAGAAAAAAAAATTATGAGAGCATTCAAGTGCGGTATGAGAGTTTTATGAGATTTTTGGTCAATCCTTTAGAGTATTGCTCTAGGAAATTGTTACTTTTTTATGTTTCATCCCGGTTGACAATATACTGAACCAACATTGAAGTCCTGCTTGATAGACTCAATTTTAACTACAACAAGTTGTACCTACTCAGTCTCTATTTTGAATTCCTTATTATGTTTTATGGTTTTCTTACATAAAATAGCACTATCTCCTCTTGGTTACCAGGGTGAGTTGCCATATAGAATCTATAATCCATAACATTCAAGTCCTTCCCCAAGTGTGTTTCTGACAACAGACATACATCGATATTTTTAGTTCTAAGAAAAATCTCCAATTCGTGCCTTCTATTTAGAATGCCATTTGCGTTCCACGTAATAATTTGTATTTTTTTTAATGAAATTTTTCAGAAATCGCTTTACGGTTGCTAGGTGCGCGTTGATGTATCTTTTCTCCATAGTAATTAGTCTCATAGAGATTTCGTCAATTCGTTGTTGCACGTCTTGTATCATTTGCATTATGCTACCGTCAATTTCTTTAGGTTTTTGCATTGCATTTTTGTTAATTTCCTTATTATTCATGCCTTTCTTAGGTCTTTTATCTATATAATTTAAAAAAGCGTATTACCATATACTTCGTTTAAAAATGTCTAAATTGGCTAATGGACTAAACTAATTCTCAGACGACGTTATGTTTTGCTTACTTTGTATATTTTTATTGTATATATATTTTTTTAAACCTTGCTGACGAAACATAATATTCAACACAATAACAAATGAAGCATTAATATGTCACAAAACATCTGATGTCTTTGATAAAAGCTGGCATTTATTTAAGCTGATTTCGATTTTTCGAACTAAAAAAATTGTGAGATCATTATATCTTCGATTATAAAAACATATACCTCGGTTTGTGTTTCTAATAATGAAAAGTATTATTTATTTCTTGGTTTCTGATAATATAAATTGGAATAGAAAAGCGTGTTTTTGTTATACAAAAATTTTTTCAGAAAATCTTAAAATAGAGCATACTATTATTCCACTATACTTGCTTGATTTAGCTCCCAGCGATTATTGGCTGTCCTTAGATCGCAAAAAAATTCTCCAGGGAAAGAGATTTGGATCGAATGAAGAGGTCATCAGCGAAGCTGAACTATATTTTGAAGGAAAAGATAAATCGTTCTACAAACATGGTATCGAAAATTTAGAGAAACGCTAGATCGACTGTATCACCTTAAAACGAGATTATGTTGATGAATAAAATCAAATTATTTCAAAATGTTGTTGTTTTATTAGCCATTCTACGGACCTATTGAGCGATACATTATAAGTATTTACAAAATTATTAATTAATCCCTTCTTGCGTTCCTTCGACACAATCTAGACTGCACTCAAAAAGAACAGAACCCTGCGAAACTAATACAAATTATTAAGGTACTTTACGATGTCGCCGAATCAGTGGTGTTACGCAATTGCAAGTTTAGTTCTCCCTTCAAGGCAACGGTAGGAGTCAGACTAGGATGGCCACTGTCTCCGTTGTTGTTCATTACAGTGCTAGACACATGTATGAGTGAGACAGCATTACTGCGCAAGAGAATTAACTGGCAGCTTGCACCTAAGTTACAAAGCTTGGAATACGCCGATAATGTCACGCTACTGGCTCACTCGGCCGAAGACATGCAGGTCGTCATAAATAAGTTAGCTGAGAAATCAGAAAAAACCGTTCTCAAAATAAATACAACAAAAACCAAGGTGATAAGAATTAATTGCACGAGTCGAGCCCCCATCTACCTACGGGGTATTCCAATTGAAGAGGTATCCGAGTTTGAGTACCTGGCCAGCACAATAACAACGGGTGGGGGAACTAATAAGGACATAGAGTACAGAACAAGGCAAGGCACTATTTTAATTTATTTTAATTTTTCTTTATATTGAATTGATTTGAATTCTGATAAATATACCAGCACATATGCAGACATATTACGTTTGTAAGATTTCAAATTTATTATCGTTGAACCAACTAAAATAAAATTATCATATTTTTTTTATTTTATTTACATTTCATATTCCAAAAATTACTTAAATTTAAACAGTTAAAAATTAAAAAATAACTTTGTTTCGTCGTGACGCCACAGTCGCAAATTGTTTCCTAAAAAGAAAAAATAAAAAAAGAACAACAAAAGATACAAAGTACACAACAGTAACATTATTGTACTTATTTGATGGATTCAGTAGGCATCCAACTGCGCAAGTTTTTATCTGAACTCTGAACCTAAAATTGAAGCTCATTGAAGCGCATAACATATATTTGATATAAAGGAAACTTACCTGTTAAATATATTGCATATACCTGTTGAATATATCCTTCTTTTCATGGTTCATCTACTTTCATTGATATTATTTTTATAATTTTTATGAAACATTAGTTCCATAATTTTCTAATTTTTTTCAAAAGAAAAAAAAACACGGCACTACATTTCACTTTTTTGTTTACTTTTTATAAACTAGACTGATGTTTTGCAGACAAAAAAAAATTCGTTCAATAACTTTCGTTCAATTGGGTCGGTGTTGCCGCATGACAAAATCTATCAAAATAATTCATTTCAGCTATTTGTCAAATGTAGTAAAGTGAAATAAAAAAGAACGAGCGAATGAAATGAAAAATATATCTTCTTCGTCTTATTCCTCTCCGCCTTCGAGGCTGGACACCACATCTTTAAATTCATTGCGTGAACTAACCTTCCTAGTGAACACAGTGACAGATAATCCGCACCATTCAGTTAGATTATCAATCCACGATTTCATCGTTCGCCCCCTACTTCTACAATTTAAAATTTTGCCTTGTAATATTCTGTACTTGTAATTTTGCATGATGTAACCGAAGTATCTGATTTTTCTTATTTTTACAGTTTACACCAAAGTTTTTGAACAATTCATTCGCCTTAGAACTTCTGCATTTCTAACTCTATCCTGCCATGATATTTTCAGAATTCTTCGGTAACACCCCATCTCGAAAGCCTCAATCTTCTACCCCATATAGTAGGGTAGACCCCATATAGTAGCAAAAAAAATATAGCACTTAAGTATTTTGATCTGTCTGCGACAGATCGCTACGGGACGGAAGAAATTGGGCGTACTGCCTTGCAAGGAATATTTATTTACCCCAGGTGGTAATCCAGTAAATCTGAAAAATCCACACTCTTCGGAGATCACTTATTGCATCAAACTACTACTACCGACCCTTTCAAAAGAACACCTCTGGTGCGTACAACACCATGTGGTAAAAGCAAATAAAATATGTCCAAAGGCGATGAACAGAAAGATATGGGAGCAGTTAATGAAATAAAAAATCAGAAAACTGATAACGGCCACTTAAATATAAGAATAAGCGAGCTAAAAGTGCTTTGTAAAGGATTAAAAAATGAAATCCAATATCTCAAAGAGGAAAATAATAAGCTAAAATTGGAATCAAACAGTATAAATACAATAAAATAAAGAAATACGCAAAAAGTTGCGACAAACAAAGTGGAATACTACACAGATGAGGAGGACCTGGCTCGGGAAACAGATTGGAGTCTCAAGAGAAAAAGCAAAAAGCGAAGAGCAGATATGTCACCTGAAATAAGTTCTAAGTACAAGGTTAGAAAGGCCAAACCCAATGCGTCTAGCCCAATGTGTCAAGTGTGCTGGTTACGATACACTTACAAGCCTTATTTAACGATAAACTGTAGTAAGCGAAAAATCGAAGCTCCAAAGTGTGCGAATTGCTTTGAAGTACATCCTGCGAATTACAGGGGTTGTATTGTCGCAAAAGAATTAAAAAATAACCTTACAAAACATAAAAAAATATAAATAATACCAAAAAATACTCCCAAAACTCCAAAAACCCCAAAAACAACTATATTAAATAAAAGAGTGCAGGGAATACAATATGCCCAAAAGGCGAGGGGTGAAACATATAACCATACCAAAAAACGAAGTAAAGAGATTTACCACCTCAAAAACCCGTTGAAAGCAATATATGTAAATATAATGCAAATGATGCAAAATATGATAAAAACTATTAACGAAATCTTATTGAGATTGAACAGATTAGAAGACAAGCATGATAATGTTTATGTATGTAAGCCAAAAAGAATAAAAGGTAATGGACGAAGATAAAATAAGAATTGCGACGTGCAACGGAAACGGCGTTCTCAGTAAAAAGCGTATATTAGAAATATTCCCAAGGACCCAAAATATTGATATATGTTTAGTAACAGAGACACATTTAAAACACCAAACAGATATGAAAATAAATGTTTAAATAGAATACAAAGCGACGCATCCTAATAATGAATCCAAGATGATTGCACAATTTTGATAAGGAATAATATAAAACATAATGAAATAAGTAAAGTAGAAAGAGTCTTATTAACAAAATTTCGATATTGGTGCACGTTATTGTCCTTCGAGACGTGTTATAAAGAGTGGTTCATTCAAAGATCTCCTAAATTTCCTTAAAGAAAGGTTTATTCTGGAAGGTGACTATAATGCGAAACATATTGATTGGGTTCTAGATTGACAAGTGGTAGAGGGCTAAGAAAAACTATTAAAGAGATTGGTTGTCAATACCAATCCGCTGGTAGACCAACATATTGGCCAAGTGATAGAAATAAGATATCAGATCTGCAAGACCTCTTTATTGTCAAGAAAACCTCGCCAAATTTCATTAGTTTAGAAAATAACTATGATTTGGGTTTGGATCATTCTGCACTTATATTAAACTTAACTGAGACAGTTACCAAGAAACAAAATGAGTCCATGTTTATTAATAAATCCACTGACTGGACTAGTTTTAAATAAGAGATAGAGAATAAAATAAACTTAAAAATTAAAGATGATTTAGATTCTGAGGTAGAGAATTTTAATTAAATTATACAAAGCGCTGCCTGGAATAATACAAAACAATATGAGTATAAATCCGTGGGTATGACTTACCCAAGAGAAATACTGAATATGATAAGCGAAAAGAGAAGAGCTAGGCGCAAATGGCAAAACTCACGAGATCCAGCAGATAAAATTACACTCAATCGACTCACTCAGAATCTAAAAAGAAAAATAAGAAAAATCAAAGAAGATTTATTTGAAAATTACATTAAAAATTTGTCAGCCGAACAAGAAAGTAATTATTCCTTATGGAGGGCTGCAAAAAATATTAAAAAGCCAATTTTACATGTCCACGCTTTTAGAGGAACCGATCACAAATGGGCAATAGAAAATAAGGATAAGGCTGAAATATTTGCAGATCATCTTGAATAAAGTTTTAGGCCAAATGACGTAAACTTAAATGCATAATAGTGGACGAAATAAAAAGTTTAAAGTCAAGGAAAGCACAGGGTTATGATTTAATTACCGCTGAGATACTGAAGCAATTATCGAAAAAAGGTATAACAATGTTGACTTTTTTAATGAACTCTGCATTAAGGTTAAAATATGTGCCTAATGCTTGGAAGGTGGCAGAAGATATAATGATACCAAAACCTGGTAAACCTTTAAATGAGACCAAGTCTTGTAGACCAATTTCACTACTACCAATTTTGTCGAAACTTTTTCAAAAGTTATTACTAAAAAGAGTGGAACCTATAATTGATTCATTAATTCCGAACCACCAATTTGGGCTTAGAGCAGGATTCTCAACTACTGATTAAATTCACAGAATCACAAATATTATTCTCATATATAAATCAAATTTGTGCAACAATTTTTGTAGGCTTTTGACAAGGTTTGGGACGAAGGATTAGAAAAAATATTACCAGAGCAATATGTATATATTCACTCTTCTTACTTACCCGACAGATTTATTTAGAGTCAAACAAGAGGGGGACTATTCCACACTTAGAGATATAAAAGCAGGTGTGCCTCAAGGCAGTATTTTCGGTCCAGTACTATATCTACTCTTTACAAGAGATGTGCCTCAAATAGAAAACACAATTGTGGCTACATATGCTGGTGATACTGCAATTATGGAAGTAGCATCAAATATTGACGACGCCACAAGAAAATTGCAGCAGGCAAGCAATAGTTTTGATGCTTGGACCAAGAAATGGAAAATAAAGGTAAAAGAAACTAAGCCTGCACAAGTAAATTTTACAAATAAAATTCTTGTAAACCCTCCACGTGCTAAGTTAAATGTTGCGCAGGAAAATGCGGCAAAATATCTAGAAATGACACTCGATGTTAAGCTAAACTCGAAGGAACATGTTAAGAAGAAAAAGGCAGAATTAGAATTAAAATATAAAGAAAAATATTGGCTCCTAGGTCGCAAGTCAATTTCGCCGATAAAGAATAAAGTCCTGCTCCATAACCAAATTATTAAACCGAACAAATACATGTCCAGCGAATACAAACGTTCCAGAATAGGGTTTTGCGGAATATGGTGGATGCCCCCTGTTATGTGCGAAATGGAGATTTGCATAGGGACCTAAAAATTCCAAATGTAATTGACAAAATTAACGAAAGGGCGGTGAGACATAGAGCTCGTTTGAAGCAACGTGTCAATGTAGAGGCCTCCCGGCTCCTTGTTTTCCGGGATTCTCCCAGAAGGCTAAAGAGGACTTTGCCTTCTGGTTTAGTGCGAAATGAGCTTCAGCAAATCAGGAAGCCTTGAATCTCTTTCAATGAATATTGAAGAATATTTGATGGTTGGTCTAAGAGGACTAGTATCAGAATTTAAGGAGGTTTTGGTGGTAAAACACATAACTAACTATGGCTTGCCAGGGAATGACATGTTAGTATCTTTCATGCTTTCCTCCTTCCTTCGATAAAAAAAAAAAACAATTTTTGTAAGTGCTGCTTTTGCCTGCTGGATTCTCGAACGTATTTCGAATTGATTAGATGTATTAGCGCCTACCATTGCAACCAGGTATCGAATTTTTTATACTCGTTTCAATTTGTTGTGTTCTAGTAACAATTCGTGTTTGGCTTCACAATTTTTTGACATTGCCATATATTTCGTTTTTTTTTTGTGTTGATTTTCTGGTCATATTGTCTGAACTGGGCATCGAGTTGGTCATCGACCAACTTTTGAAGACCGTCTACGTTGCTAGCTATGAGGACAGTGTCATCAGCAAATCGAATATTATTAATTTTTTCACCGTTAATCGTAATTCCATTTTGATTTTGTTCTTATTCTCATTATTTTATTATTTAATTTATCATTATTCTCATTATTTAATATTGTCTCTGCATACACATTGAATAACAGGAGTGATAAAATATATCCCTGTCTAACTTCTGTTATTATTCCTATTTCGTCCAATGTACCATCTATTGGTTTAATATTTCAAGCAATTTGTCATGTTTAATGTTGTCACGTGCCATCTCGAAATCGATGAAGCAAGCGTGGACATCTGAACTCATTTCATATCTTGTTTGCAAAGTTGTGTTTAGCATGAACAAGGCTTCTCTTGTGGCGACTGCATTTCTAAAAGCAAATTGAGTATC